TGAATTTTCCTGTTTGTGCTACGTTACACCTGATCTTGCAATATTATTGGACAAAGATCACGTGATTGCGCTCTTTTTCGCCACCACTAAGCTACTTACTCCGCGATTGCAATTTAAAAATTAGTTACTAATCATCAACAGTATTTATTTTTCTATATTCTCCACCTATTCTTTTCTATCATTGCACTTATGCATACATACGTAGGAAAACCTTAATCACTTTCCGAATTCGGATAAAGAAAAAAAAATCACAATGTTTGTACAGATTTAATGTCAATAATTAAAATGTTTTAAATAAATTTTGGTCTATATAATGTTAATAATTTAGATTACTTTGAAATCTTTCTAATCTCGACTTAGTGTTAGTAATTCAGTTATTTAGAAATTCTTCGAATGAATCATTCAGATACTTTGAGATCTTTTCAGGTCTTAAGTCATTGTCAAGTCCAACTACTGAAAAGGAAATTCACTGTAGTACAGAGGTAAAATCTTAAGCTCTGCTGACGTACGTACGTACGTACACGACAATACCGGATACACATGTGTGTTTGCATTGCTGAAGTGAGTCTAAGTAATACAAAGGTAATGAGTACAAATTTAACGAGTCTTAAGCTCTGTTAGTGCCATCTTCAGCTAAGTGCATCTAATAAAAAGCCATAGTTTTATAATCTCACGCTCGCATGATTCTTTTTTCCTTATGCAGCCATCTTAAGCATGACGCTAATCAATTTTCCTAATACAACTTTTCTCACAATGTACAATCACGATCATTTTTGGCTTATAATAACTGTACACAAAGTTATTTTCTACTAAATAATAGGTGCGTATATGCGTGCTCAGGGATGTTATTCAGCTTGGCTAGACTGATGGTAATATAGAGCCTTTCTAGTCTCAGTCTTAAGGCTTGTATTAGTTAACATCCCTAGTCTTAAGACCGTAGACATACATAATATAGTTACGGTATTGTATGGATATGTACAGTACGTACTTATGTATGTGTAAGCAAGAGCTACTTACCCAGCCAGAAATGAATTAGATCGAACCATACCGTTTAAACCACAATTCTTATAAGTATAAATACCAATATAAAAGATTACGTATACAAGTATCGATGTTATGTACGTACGTACGTATGAGAGTTTTTAGGCATCTCTCATTGGTGAATTATTGTAAAATTAATTGACCTATATAAGGACAAAGAAAAACTTTATTTGACTTTTTTTTTCCGTAAGTGCAGTTCATTTAACTGCAGTAAGATATTATATTTGGACATGTTATAGTTAAATTCCATAATGATAACGATAAACGCACGCATTAAATTTAGACATGTTATAGTTAAATTCCTTAACGATAAATGCATCATACGTAGCGTCGGATTTAGACACATTATAGTTAAATTCCTTAACGATAAATTCATTGATCCTGCACTGAGTATTCATTATATGTATTACGCTTATACGTACGTGTACAGTCAAACTTATATGGTTACATTGTAAAAAGAAAAATTTTTACCCGGAAGCACTGCGACTCCGGTTCAAAATTTTTTCACCCCGAAGATATCCTTAGATCGTCTAGAGGAAAATTTTGTGTTTTTAAAAATTTATAAATTTAAAATAATGATTATAATAATCTTTTTATTTAAAATATATATTTTTTGTTTTAAGGGCGTATTTGTCGGCGGCGGTTACGGCATCAAGCCAATCAGACTCCACGATTCAAAAACTTCAAAAATTTCGACTCAAAATTATGCCTATGAAATCAACTTTCATGCCTTACTAGTTAATACTCTAACATTAACAGATTCATGATTTAAGCAAAATAGGTTTATAATATATATTTTATTAAATTAACTTTGGGTTACCACTTTAGTTTATAGATGGACAGAGATGTTAATAGACATTAGGACAAAATCTTGAACACGTCATACAAAAACATTAATAACAAAGGTTTACTATGACAACTTGGTCGGAGCTGAGGGAAGTGAAGTAAAGCCTTCGAACCATACTTTACGAATTTTCAGAATATCCGGCTCCCGCTTCAACTGGGTCCTGATTTAGGTTCAGAATCCAAAAAATTGAACCCAAATTAGATTCAATTTTGGATACTGAAATCTTAATTTAAAATATAGAATTGACTGTATCGCAAGAAAACACATTAAATAAAATAAGTATGTCATTATATTGCGCAAACAAATACGTTTAATAAAATAAAACAACTTGTAAACTTTTAAAATGCGAAAACATAAAATAACTTATAAACCTGAGCAAATAGCCATAAGTTATTGCACAATTCTTAATTCCGAATTATTTAGTTATTCGATTATTCATCCACTTACCAATTCTTACTTAGTTATTCGATTATTCATCCACTTACCAATTCATACTTCAGAATTACTTAGTTATTCGATTATTCATCCACTTACCAATTTTACATTACTTTCAAATCATAATGGATTCTCTCGTCGACAACATATAAGAAATTTTTGTTAATAAAGATTAAAACTTCATGATTAAAATAAAGTTTATGCTACGTGTAAATCCTTCAGAATTCAATATTCCGTTACTGCCGATATTGATCGATTCTTTGAGAAGGTTATTAAAAAATTTCGAGCTAAATGTTTAATAGATTACTTAAGCCTATAAAGTCTAGAATAACGAAAATTTTATGCTAAGGTCGATTTTGTGTAATTTAAAAAAAAGTTATTGTGATGGGCTAAAAATTAAAATGTCATACGTCATGATCTATTAAAAAATTTTAATTCTTAATAAATTATTAAATGCGACCATTGAGTATATCACCTTTTTACTCCCATAGTCCATATGTATCAATTCCATGTTAGTTGAAAAACAAAATAGATAAGGATTTTGTTTATTAGAGTTCCTAGCTCCTCCCTCTATAAAAAAATAATCCTAAATAACATATACACATAACTAAATATCATTTGTATTTCTATGCGATTAAAAGCAATAAAGATAAACGTAGTTGAAAACTTAATTATAAAATTTTTCAGAATTCAAATAATCCATATTAGAAGAAATAGATACTTGATCATGAGAATAGATATCAAAGGACGTGCTATTTTGATTTAAGTCAGAAATTAAATGACCATGTTGCATAACATTGTTATTACCAATATGTGTCTGTGTAAGGGGAAGCGATTCTTGAGAACCATTTATTTGATGTATATTAGATATATCGTAAGATATAAAATTAATATATCCAATATAATTATGTTGTTGCGGAGTACTCGATTCGTGATCTTGCACGTTTGGGATAACGGAAGGTAATGTAAAGTCTGTCTTTGGTCCGCGTTTTCTATCCAAATTAGTAAAAACACACTCAAGATTGCGTAGTGTACAATGTTTACATGGTGCCTTTCCAGAACACTTTACGTGTTTCTGTCTGCAATTATTACATGCTTTTGACGCGTAAGGACCTCGTCGACGTTGTTGCTGATACGAAAGGGACATGATTATTCAAGGTATTTTGATGTTAAGCAAATAGTAATACTATTATGAAAGATGATTAAATGTCATTGACGTGTATCAGTAATTATGTTTAATTAAGTAGGATAAAGGTTTTATGAAATTATTTAACAGAAAAAAAGTACTTATATTTATATTTTGACAGGCGCTTAGGGATCTTGAAATCCTTTTATTCTAAGGTATGTATATTAGCAGAAAACAAATGTGCGTGTTAGTTACACAAAAATATCGAGTACACAAATTTTGACGACCAATTTGCGGAAAATCTCATCACTTTCCCCGTGTAACAGGTAACAGGGATAATTCAAACATTAATATGTATACGCACATGTGCTAAAAGTGAGTTGTTTTTAGTAACAGTTAAGATTAAATAATGAACAATTCATTCTATTGCTATATTGCTATGTGTTTATTCATATATGTGTGTCATATTGCTTTCTATAACACGTACAGTACACGAGTATTTCTTTTACGCAGTAGAGAATATTTATCTTGGAATCTTTGGAATCATTTCTTTGTTTTCATTCAATCCCGGAAACAAGCACCTATATATGGATAAATAGAATAATTACTGACAACGACAAAGCATTTAAATAAGAAATAAGACTTTAATCTTTAGATTGGTTTAAAAAGATTAAAAAGAAACAATTTTATTAGTGAATAGTTCCGATAAAAAAAAAAAAAAAATCACCAAAATATTTACATTTTTTTGTAGATCTGTATACTTTTTTTAAAAAATGGTTTTCAAGGTGTTTATTAAATCACAATGAACAGATATTCGTTTTAGAATTGGTGCATATGCGATTGACTTTCACGAGTTTGCAAATGGAAATAAATTTATAACGATAGATTTATTAATTTAATAAACACAAATGTTGCATATACTTGCCGACAAAGCTCTGATAAATCTCGAATCCAAAAAAAGTAATTATATAAAATTATACCATTTGTTTGAATAAAGATTATTAATAAAATTTTTGAGATATTAGTTTAGCCAAATTATAACAGTTTTTGGTGCCAAGTATATGAGTGCGTCAAGGTTTACAATTACTTAAAATACAGCTTATAAATTTTGATAATATCGAAACGATCGAGTTTGTTAGTCGGAGATTTGCTGTATGTGTAAAAGACATTAGATAGCTGAGTCCTATTGAGCAGTGAAAAAAAAATATATATAATACGCAGCATGCGCACATGACTTTTTTCTATACAGTCAAACAGAATGTGCGCTTGCGCACTAAATTTCAAGTCTGAATTTTTTTTTCACTGCTATAGGTATTGAGACCAAATGGGTCAACAAAACAGGTATAATGCAGAAACTTCAGAAACTTCTTTCAATTACAAACAAATAAACTAATATAGCATATTTCGTATCCCAGTTTGGAATTGTCCCGATTTAGAATCGGACTTCCCCGGATGGGAATTTTGTAAATTACTTTGATGGAATCAAAGTTTTTAAGGTTTGAGTTAGATTAGAATTAGAATTAGAATTTAGAATAAAAAAATTTTTAAATTATAAATATAGTATAATTTGGGCCAAAATTACAAAATTCTCATCCGGGACTGTCCTGATTCCGAATCAGGACAATTCTCATCCGGGGTATAACATTTACATATTTCTCAAAGCATGTCATAGTTGTCTTCAAAATGGACTATTTTGGAATAACAAGAGGTGAAACTGGATGCTTTATTATGGATATTATGAGAATGGAAATCATTACGAATACATAGATAATAACAAAGAAATTATTTGAATAGATATAAATGACATTATTTGGGGAATCACACAGGTGTCCTTGAAAAGATTCATTCTTACATTCTTACAGCTGTTTTTAAAAAGCATGAACAACGATTTCTATATACGTATCAATGTAGGAAATCATAAAATCTGTAACTCTAATTACAAAAATTACGGCTGTTTTCAAAAAGGTGTGAACAACGATATATGCGGGAAATCAAAGAATCTGGAAATTTTGATTAGTAAAAATCCGATTATTGAAGTGCGGATCATCGTATAATGTAAAAATCGCGGGAAAATTAGACGATTTTTTTCGATTCTAAGGGAATTATGCAGATTTCCAAATATATATAGATATCATTGATCGAATATCGATATATATGGTTGATAAAAATCTAGAATCTCCGAAATCCCCGCTATCGTTATCACGAAAATCGTGTGGTTGCAAACCGCTATCGGATTTTGGAATTCTGGAAATCCTTGGATTTCCCGTGATATGGTGATCTGCATCTGCTCATACCTTTTTGAAACAGCTGATTACATAAAACGGTCCTTTCTAGAAATCCGTGAGATATTGTGAATTTCAATATATCGGAATTACCAGATTCTTCGATTCCCATAGGTATATGGAAATCATTGTTCGCACCTTTTTGAAAACGGGTTCCATTCATTTCACCGACAATTATTTCATCGATAGTCATTTCACCGACAAAGTAATTGTCGTTAAGGTCAGGTTTAAAATTAGAGTTATGATTAAAAATTTTGTCGGTGAATTGATTGTTGGTGAAATGACACGGAACCTTGGAAAATAGCTGTAAAGCCTCTGCATACACAAATTTACATGGAGAAAGTCTTTTGATTGAAGATGAATCGGTGCCTACCGATGAAAAAATCGCAAATATCATACGCCTTGGTCTATATTGATGTCTGACGAAACCAACTATTTTGCAATGGCCTTCTTCCAACGAACTTCTTTATAAGAAGTTCATAGTTGCTGCAAATACTTATGCCCTGAAATAAGTACAGAGCTTAAATAAAATGCCAAAATATCGTAATGAACCAATGTTGGAATCCTGCCAGAAAATCGACCAACAGTGAATCATTTAAATAAACGATTATGTGACTTGATATGCGATGACTCAAATTTCCAAATTTCAAATAGTTTTGGTATTGCTAAAGAGAAAAGATGGGAAGAAAAATGGAAATAAGTAATTATTTACATATTATATTCATAAAAATAATATTTAGTCGTGTTATTGGTTATAGAATTATATAAAATACTTTTACTAATACTTACTACTATTTATTTTTTATGTAAAACATTAAGTCAATTTTTGCTGTTTACTATAATTTCAAGGGTATGCATATAGAAAGTTTAGATTATCAATAAATTTTATTTATTTTACTGTAAATACATTGGTTTTTCGTTATAGTGTACAAATTCAAAAATTATATAACAGTTTGATGGGAAAACTTTCAATTTTAAAAGCTATATAATTCATTTAAGATCTCCAGTTAATCTCTATGCATTAAAACTACGAATAATTAAAATTTCCAAAGGAAAGTCTGATAAATTTAAATCCTATCATTACAAAGGAGGTCTACCCATTAATCAAAAAATTTTTTCATTCATCGTTCCGTGTGATTTGATCAAGCTTTTTCCGATATTTTGCTTATCACTGCGAATACATTTTTGTAATCCATCAAAATTTCTATCTCTGCATATTTCAAGCACCATTTGAATGCCTTTTTTACACCCTCAAAAATGTCCATGCCATTTTTGTAACAATTTTCCAATATTATATCATCCACTAGATTTTTTTTTATCGGATATTAGAAACTAAGACCTTGTTAAAAGATAAACACAAAGTTTCAAATCACAGTTGAAACAAAGTATTTAGATTCTTTGTAAAATAGTTAACGTTTTAATAAATCAACCAATCAACGTGAATTTTTATCAACAAATCATTGTAATACATGCATAATAAATAATATTAAAAAAACATTGTATGCTTATTTCAATAAACTATTGTACAAATTTCTAAAAAGGTTAAGATCAATTTCTTTTATTACTCTAAACCAAAAAAGTAAACTAATTACTTTGATACTTTAAAACGCCAATAAAAAATCATTGTAACAAATTGCTAAAAAGATCATTAACAACAGTTAAAACATTTCAAACTATGTAAGTACGTACGTATATCATTTCTTTCATACGTACGCTAAAATAATTATCTGCATTTACACTTAATAAAATTATCGCACAAGTTCCTAAAAAAAGTAAAGATTATTAAAATTTATCTCAAATTAATTTCTTTTACATGCCAATTTTATACACAATTGTTATATGATATAATATGTATATGCTAATTAGAAAATTTTTTAAAATAAGCATTGTCTTTTACATGTTTTGACGTTACCCATAATAAGTTGTGCTACTAGATAGTGAAACAAAATTCTAAAGATTTTGTATTTAAACGAATTTAAACAGTTAAAAAATTCAAATTTTCGTTGTCTTTTTTTTTAAAACAAAAATCATATTTAAAAATTAAAAAATGGAGAATTATAATAATTCAGGTCATCATAAAACATTATCAAACTTAGATCCTTATAATCTTGGATACAATTATCAACATGGAACTGGAGTCGAAAAGGATGAACAAAAGGCATTTATTTATTATCAAAAATCTGCAGAGATAGGACACGCTAAGGGAACATACCATGTTGGACATTGTTATCAAAATGGAATTGGTGTTGAAAAGGATGAATATAAAGCATTCACTTATTACCAAAAAGCTGCAGAAATTGGAGATATTGACGGAATATATAATGTTGGACGTTGCTATGATGAAGGAATTGGAGTTGAAGAGGATGAATATAAGGCATTCACTTATTATCAAAAATCTGCAGAGATGGGGCATATTGATGGAGCATTTAACGTTGGTTGTTGTTATGAACATGGATTGGGAGTTGACGATGATAATCAAAAGGCGTTCACTTATTATCAAAAATCTGCTGATATGGGGCACGGTGACGGTGCATATAGTGTTGGATTTTACTATCATAAAGGAATTGGTGTTGAAAAGGATGAACATAAGGCATTCTTTTATTATAAGAAATCTGCAGATAAGGGGCACGTTAAAGGAACATATCAGGTTGGATATTGTTATGAGAAAGAAATTGGAGTCGAGAAGGATGAACATAAGGCATTTATTTATTATCAAAAATCTGCTGATATGGGAAATGT